TAAAAATAACTAAAACAAATAAAAAATATTTAAAATAACTAATAATAAGTAAAATAACTAAACTTTTAATTGTTTCCGAACCTCCGGGAAAAATAACCAAAAATAATTAAGATAATTAAAAATAACTAAAATAAATAAAATTCTAATTGTTTCCGAACCTCCGGTAAACCCAAAAATAACTCAAAATAAGTAAAATAATTAAACTAATTAAAATAATCAAAATTTTAATTATTTCCAAACCTCCGGGAAAATAAATACACATAACAATAAAAATTAAACATAATTAAAGTAAAATAGTTAAAATCTTAATTGTTTCCGAGCCTTCGGGAAAAATATTTAAAATGATTACAATAGATTAAAAATAAATAGAATAGCTCAAAATAACTCAAATACTTAAAATAGCTAAAAATTTAATTGTTCCCGAACCTCCGGGAAACCCAACATAAGTAAAACTATTCAAAATAGTTAAATTATTTAAAACCATTAGAAATTAGTAGTTAAAAGAATTAAGATTAGTAATTAAAAGAATTAACATAATTAGAAATTTAAATATTTCAAAACCTCCGGGAAACCTAAAATAAAGAAAAATAATTCAATTCTTAATTATTTCCAAACCTCCGGTAAACCCAAAATAACTAAACTATTTAAAATAGTTAGAGTTTTGTTTATTTCCAAACCTCTGGTAAACAATGGTAAACACAACATAATTGCACCTGCTGCGAAATCTGGACCAATACAAAGTGTTGCACTTGCCACGAAATGTACACTTTGAGGTTCACAGAGTGCTTCGCCTGCCACGAAACAAAGCTACGGTTCACTGCACCCGTCACGAAATCAGAGCGCCTCGAAGACCACCAACCATGTCCAAAGTGCTGCGCCTGCCACGAAATCTGCAGAACATGTACTCTGTGACGTGTGAAAAGGCATGACGTAGCTGAATATGTACGGCTAGGAATCCAACGCTGTGGTGGTCGCAACACTGAATACACGCGGTGGAAGATGGAGTATCGCAGAAACTGTGCGTTTTGCATCTGTTGAGCATGGCGTGTAGAGCTTGACTTGCGGTGCAGGAAGTCACTGCACAGCTTAACACGGAGCTAGGAAACATGTTGTAAGGCTGTGGTAGCTGAGCATTGAGGAGTATACGCGCAAGAGCAACCTTCCAGACATGATAGTGCGCAAAGGGTCTTTGCTCCATCCTGTATCTCAGGACTACGCACCTACGAGAATATGATTCTGGGCCTGACCCTCAGCGTACTCTGCTTGCAACCTGTCCACAGAGGTACCAACACCTTGCATTGCTTGCAACAATCCATGCTTGTTCCATAGATTCTGGCTCAAGAGTACACTCACAAATTGGAGCAGTTGACGCAGCAGCAGATTTTCCGAAATCTTTACGGCAACTTGGAGAAACATGCATGATCAGAGCTTCTGTACGTATCTTGCGAACGAGGTATGCCCTTGATCTTTGATCCTATCGGACCAAAGCAAGACGACACAGGGAACGTCGGCAGAGCTTTGCTCTTGCTGTGGGGCTGGCAGTGTCTCCTGCTCAGTGAAGATAAGTAGATAAAAGTTCAGAAGTTCTGCCAACTCTCATGTGCTTCGAGGTCGTAAGCGGTCTGGCGATTTTGAAGTGCTGTCAGGCCTAGGGATGGTTGCGGTACTGTATTATCGTTACTTTGCCTGCTCTCGATAAGACACCCGCGCCGTCTCACTGCAATCTGTTAGGCCCTGTCACAGATCTTGTCAGCGATGAACCTCACTCAGGCCTAGCCATCTCCGAATCATTCTATTTGACCCTTGTTCGTTTGACCCTCATTCGATTTCTTTGCAGGAGCTCTTCACTCCTTCTGGGCGCGAGGAGACCTGGAAAACTTGAATGGCTCCTGGTGTCAGTGGGTCGCACATAGGATGAGCTTGGCAATGACGAATAACGCAATGATAAACAATGTATACATTCCGATGCTAAGGTGACACTTTCATTGTGCCAATTCTTCACCGCTTGTGTAGTGCTGCAGACCAAAGCTCTCGCATTCATTGCCACTTGAACTACAGTATGAAAATTGCATTTACAAAACAAGAGTCATGTGTGCGAGTTATCTGCAAGGCGACTACTTCATGAAGGAGATTGTCAACCGGTTGACTCACGTATGTGGACGAACTTGCGCAGATTGGTGGCGCTGTTTCTCGCCATATTAAGCCTTACCTGTTTTATTCAAGAAGTAGAAACTTGAGTATCCGGGATCAAGCACTTGAGTGATCACTGCAAGGGATGAATTGCGGCTTTGGAGTGAAGCATGTTCGACAAAGCCAATGCAAAGTGGTGAAACAAAAAGAATGTGATAAGCTGTGGTTGGACTCCTCCTGGTGTGGCTTGCTTGCATCCAATGGTGCATGTCATTGGGTTCACACTGTTAGTACAAAACATTGAAGCAACTGAGCAATTCGACCTAGGCGATGCATTGGTTTGGAAGATTACTGGCCGGATTCGCAGCACGGCTGATCTTCCTTCAGCGGAATACACTCCGAACTGGAAGCAGCTCCCACGCAAGCGATGGTATCGTCGGTTCAGGCTGGGTAAGTATTGGTATGAGACGAAGCACGAAAGCGCGAACAGACAATGATTCCAGGGGACCTGCTCCGAGACTACTAGCAGCCTCGTGGCCAGAGGCAGGACGGATTCTTTTTCCTGATTGCGGATTAGTCTTATCATTACGCGCGTTAGGAGCAAACCCAAGTGAAGAACTACAGTACCCCGCATGTGGCCTCAGACCTGTCTTTATGACTGGCGCTGTGTGTCTGTCTGGTGATGATGGAGAGCTAAGGAAGGAGGTGGCAGAAGACCACAAGACAGGCCGGAATTTAGAATATAGTGCAGCAACGTCCTTTTTGAAGCGGCGCCCAGACGTTGCAAAGGCTTAGATGAATGGTGTGACATGGTGGGAGATGTGATTCCGCTCAATGATCTGTGGTGTGTCCTGCTTGGCATAGAGATATATTGGACAACTACCCATGTATCATCTGATGAGAAGCTCTATTTAGCTAAGGCATTGCGGCATTACAGAAAAACACACGGATCACTGTGCTTAGGTGGGTACTTTGTTGATGCCATCGTGGCCCGACTGATGGAAGAGAAGGACGCTGGATTGGGTTTTTGCCACTTGATTGCAGCAGACATCTCTTTACTAGAACACACTCATAGAAGACTGAGGCTTATCCAAGAGGCAAAGACGTCGTTGGCGTGAAGAAAGCATTAGACGGTGGCGGGCCAGCAAAATGCGCTGGATGGAAGCCAGAAGGGATGAAGAAGAAAGCGAGATTCTGGAGCAATACGTTGCGATTGCCAGAGAAGAAGCCAGAAGTATGATTGAGAATTCAAGTCTCTCTCTTGCATTGGTGTGAGGTCAACATAGAGTCCGTATGGTCTCTATTTCTAAACCTACATTTGTATACCTTCATTGCTGTGAGGCTCTTCGGGCTTTTTGCGCCCCACTTCAGAAATCCGTCCGAAGACAACCATCTCTCGCTTTGAGTGTCTCGGCTGATGAGATCTGTGAATAGTCACTGAACTATGCTAGCGTTCTTCTCCCTTGCCTGAGGACAAAACAATTCCATCACGTATGCCTTGTTGATGTTCTCCGATGCCATGGATGGAAAGTTCCGTACGAAGAACATGGACCATTTTTCGCAGTAACAGACGGGAACCGCTTCCTGAACAAGTGGTCGCCCTTAACTCAGTTCAACATGATGTCACATCTTTTTCTGCTGCGTGTCAACACAGAAACTCAATGCTATGACCCATGCATCTTTCAGGAAGAAAGTGGTGTACATCGACCCCCAGTCACTCACCCACGAGGCCAAGAATGCTAAGTGCATTCTCTTCCAAGACCAGCACTTTGTGGCTTTGCGATTCTTGGATGGGCAATGGGAAATCAATTTTGAACGGTATACACATACCTGGGAAAAAGCTGATCTGTACCGTGGCCTTCAGCGTGGACATCCCTACTGTCAAGATGAGAAGGGCGTGTGGATTATCGATGTGGAAGAGGTCGATGCTGCCTATTACATTGCTTCCCAAGAAGATGTGTGCCACAACAGCAGAGGAAAAGATGAGTGCGGTGGCTCTATCTCTAACCACTCTGGCATGAAACGAAAGTGCGTCGAAGAGGATGAAGAAGAAGCGCAATTCCGCTCAACAAACATTCGGCGCAATCGTCAAGTTGCTCTGAGATTGACATCTCTGCGAAAGCAGGGGGTGTTTGTGTGCCAAACTGTTGGAATGCAGCAACAGTCTCTGAAGTTCAAGACATTGGTCGGTACTGATCTAGAACAACTTCTTCCCCAAATTCTGATCCGAGGATCTGTCAACAGAAGCTTAATGCCTTTGAAGCCAAACGTCTGGCCTTCCAGTGTGCCGGTTCCACTGGATCATCTGAGCCAGTTACACAGGCACCCCAGAG